ACAAAAAAAGCCAATTGCTTATTTTTTTCTAAAGTTAATGTTTTAAAACTGGCTTAATGTTTACAAAATGTTCCATTAATGTTTACACATCAGTGATTAAAACTTAAGGTCAGTGATTTAAAAATTGAAAGTAAATTTTAAACTTCAAAACAACCTTAGGAAGAAATTAATCATAGCAAGCTGGGGAGGGACGCTTACAGCCTAAGCCAATGAGATCTTGGCAGCCAGCAGTGCAAGTGGTAGGCTGTGTGGACCAGGCAAAAGTGAATCGTGGTGACACTGGTCCTTGAGCACCTGGACTAGGCAAGGGGGTTCCAGAGCAGTCTGTTAGGGCTTCCAGACCTCTGTACCCAGTCGTGGCCTGCTGCGGGTGCCTTCCCTACACAGAGATCTGCAAAGATACGGAGGAAACACCTATCCACAGAGAGGGAACAGATCCTTGTTCTAAAGCCACTGGGCTATGATAGGAGTGCACCGGAACTTAATTCCTTTGCGGCTGGGAGGGTCCAGTGTCTAGTTTGAGCTCAAGTTGGCTGTGTTCACAGTGATTTAATAGAATTGAGCTAGATATTTGAGACAGGTCCTGAAAGACAAGGGAGAGAGCTTCGTTTAAGTGAGGGATCACCTTCCAAACCTAACCCTTCCCCAGCCCTTCCCCTGGGGAGGACCTGGAAGCCTGAGCTCATCCCCAAGGTTCGGGAGGGCCTTTGAGCCCTGTGTTCATCCTTCCCTGATCTTGGAGCAGCTCCCTTGGGGAAAGACTGAAAGGAGCTGAGTGGGGCTGCAACTGACCCTGGGCTCCCACTGAACCCAGCCCCTGCACCACATCCCTGAGATCCTGCTCAGTAGCTGGCAGGATACCCTGATTCGCTGTGTCCCAGGGCATGTGGGGAGGTTGCAGTCACCACCACCGCATAAGACCACAGATCTTTTGTGTGGGACTAGGGGGTAGGGGTGGGAGGGGTAGGAATAAGCCCCAGGTGAACCCTGGTAATCATCATGAACATGGGTTGGTCATCACTAGGGATGATAATCCCAAGCAGGACATTTAAATCATTCTTACCAAAGAACTCAGTTCAGTGCCATGTGGAACACAGCTGACCCTTCTCGCCTTTATTTCCTATCAGTAATAGTTTCCCTGTGGTCCCTACCTCTGTGCTTCCTTTGGAGAAGGCCCCAAATAGTTAACTGAATAAATGTTTCTTATTTCCATTCCCACTGACTGTACTCAAATCAAGGCACTGTGCCTTTGTAATTGGCCTTCCTCTCTGGTTTTGCCCTTTCCAGTAGCATTATCATCATCATAGCATCACCATCCTCACAATTAACAGCTACTACTTATTTTAACATTGTGCCAAGAAATATGTGCAGTGTTTTACCATGTATTATCCTCAAAGTAACTGAAATTGGTTGGCATCCCAATTTGACAGCCAAGGAAACTTAAGACAGTTAAGTGATTTGGTCAAGTTCATACAACCAAATAAAGGTTCTAAACACCCACGTTACATTATTTTTCTAGAACCCTGGTGTGAACTCCGTTGCTCAGAAACCATCAAAGGCTCTCATTGCCTAAGGGATTAAAGTGCACATTCCTCAACTCCTCAGCCAGGAGGGCTCACTTCTAACTACAGAGCTCCAGTTTGTCTCCCATTTTTCCTTTTGATGAGAGGGCCTAGGGTCAGGAAACTTAAATTCTGCCTCTGGTTCTGCCCCTCTCCAGCTTTGTCTCATGACAGCACAGAATCCGAGCGAAAGCAAGTTGGTCACCCTAGCAACCGGGTCTGAACACTACGGGCTACACATAAATGGTCCCGACAGATCTTCTGAGTATTGGCCAAGTCTTAGAAGTGCACAGTGAGGTGTTTTACCAGTCTTAATTTCCAGTTCATTCCCAACCCATTATTTCTTCTTTGAGATGTTTGTAATACTGGAAAATGAGAAAAACCTGAAGATTAACTGGAAGAAACAAAATATCTAGCAATAATTTATTATTTGAAACAAGCTAAATACCTTTGGCTGGATTTTTTGTGGTGGGGATTAAATTATGTGTATGAAAGTATTTTGTAAGTTGCAAAGTATCATGCAAGTGTTGGCTTGTTGGCATTCACTATATTTCTATATGATGGAAATAGTTCAGGCCCTACAGATAATTCTCCAAAAGTTCCCAAAGTGCTTTGAGTAATTTGGCCTTGTAGGAATTACATTTGTAAGCTCTCAGAATGATTATTTTGATATATAAGCATGTTTAAGAAATCTTATTAATAGCAAAAGTATGTTACTTACTGACAGTTAACAAAGCATGTTTATCAAAGAAATAACCCAGACCTGAGTGATTTGAAGTTGAGGCAGAAAAGTTCACTGAGTATCACTTGCACAGTGAATGAAAGAGACCCCCACTAAGACATGGCATTATGGCATTTCAGAGCATTGGAGGTAAAGAATATTCTATAAATCTTCCAAAAAGAAAAAGTTACATAAAAAGGAACAAGAATCAGAATGGCAGCAGGCTTTCAACAGCAGTGTCGGATGCTAGAAAACAGAAGAAATTTAAAAATGCCTTCATGATTTTAAAGAAAACAATTTCAACCTCTAATTCTCTCAGTTAAGCTATTCCTCTCTGAAGGAAGAAAAACGACAATCAAACTTACTTTGTTTCCTATGTACCCTTTATTATGAAGCAACTCGAGGATATGCTTCAGAGAAATGAGGAAATAAAGCAAAGAAAGGCAATGATGTGGCCTAAGAAATAGGGGCTCTAACTCAGCAGAGAGATGAAAAGGATTTCAGAATGACAGTTGCACAAAAGATTAGGCATTTTTAGTCTTGACTAGAGAAAGAGTTCTGGGAGAAAAAGCCTCCAGAAACAAACAGATTTAATAAAGCAGTAATATTTTGTAGAACCATTTGAAATTAATGTTTTTGTAATTAAAAAGTTAACTGTAGCAATATGATATGCAATGCTAATAATAGCTACATTTAGAGTGTGCTTTTCACTTGCCAAGCACAGTTTTGTGTACTGTCATAGGTATACGACAGTCATGAGGTATAAATACTATTATTTTCTCCGTTTTAAGATTGAGAAGACTGGGACAAAAGGAAGGTTAGGTTAGGGTCAAGTTGCTCACATCATCCAGCACATGCATTTGGTGCTGTGGTCTGAACCGAGGCAAGTCTGATTTCAGAGCATAGGTTCCTAACTTTGATGCTGTACACGCAGGAGATTGGGGGACACTTTTCTGTGGACTGTGACCAGTCGAGGGGAAAGGACCTGCTATCCCGACAGCCATACAGTGAAGCCCACTGTGCACAAGCCCTACCTATCCACTCAGAACTTCCTGTCAGCTCTTTCTGAAGGGAAATTAAAATATACTATTAATATTGGTAGAGAGAGAAGAGAATGCATTGGCAAAAAGAATCAAATGCCATAAAAAAGAGCCTTCGGAGGACAAAGGTCTTAGAAGTTAGGACTATAACAGCAGAAATGAAAAGCTCAATATGTGAATTAGAGAATGAAATTAAAGACATTTGAGGTTAGAGCATGAAGGCAAGAGGCAGAAAATAGAAAAAATAAAAAATCAGAAGACCAGTCCAGGTGCTTCACTTCCAAATAATAGGCATTTCCAAGTAGAACAGATAAAATGGAAGGCAGAAAGTCATGTGAAATAATTCAAGCACATTTTCCAGAACTGAAGGCTTTAAGTTTTGGTATTGAAAGGGCCTGTTCCGTGCCCAACACAATGGACAAAAATGGAACCACACTAGAGGACATCATTATAAAATTTCAGAATACTGGGGATAAAGGGGAGACCTTACAAGCTTCAAGGAAGAAAAAAATAAGTCACATTCAGAGGATCCAGAATTGGAGTGCCTTTGGATTTCCCACCATTAACACTGCAGCCTAGAAGCAACGCCTTCAGAATTCCAGAAGATGATTTTCAACATAGACTAGAGATTTTATATATATGTCAAAGTTTGGAGAAGGTAGTGAGGGTGTATGAGAGCTAATCCTCTTAGATCATGGGAGAAAGTAAATAGACATTGTGTACACTGGATAAATTCAGAAATAGCATGAACACAAAATATCGAATTACGGTAGAACCTTCCAAAGAAACAGGTGAAAAAGTTAAAAGTGGTTGCCTTTAAAGGACGTGGGTGAGCAGGATGTGTTGATGACTCTTGGTTTTCATTATGGGCTTTTTGTCGCCCTGGAATTTCTAGTGAATTCATGAATTCATTTAATAAATTTTATAAAGTTTTTAAATAAGTTGTCTCACATTACTTCATTAGGGTTATAGAATGATCAAATAGAGCAATTAATACAAAAAAGAGTTTGTAAACTGTAAACTACTACTCATTTGAAAGTGATAATGCTGTGTTCATTAAGGGGCATTAGGTAGATGATAATGTCACTGTATGAGTTAACTTGGCCGCAGTAGTGCAATCACAAAACTTCAGCAACCTTACAGTAAACATTCATTTTCGCTCATGAGTCTACGGTCAGCTTGTGGGTTTGCTGAACTGAGGAGACTTGGCTGATGTCACCTGGGCTTGTTTGTGTGTCTGGGCATGTTGTCTGTGTTTTGACAGGTCTAGGGCAGCCTCAGCCACGAAGCTAACGGTTAGCTGTCTATCCACGGAAGCACCAGCTCTCCCACATGTTCTGTCCTCCTCCGCAGGCCATCTGGGGCTTGTTTTCATGGCAGAGGCAGGTGTCCAAAAGAAAGTGGAAGTGTACAAAGCCTCAAAGGCCTAGCTCAGATCTGGCGCACTCTCATGTCTGCCACGTTCTTTTGGCCAAAGCAAGTCAACAGAGCGGGAAGAAGATTCCATCCCTTTGTGGTAGGAGCTGTGAATCCACACTGAAAAGGAAGGGTGGAGAAATGGGGCCATTTCAGCAATTCATCGACCATAGTCATTGAGGTCAAATATTTTTATCCATCTCCTTGGAATGAGAATGTGGAAGGACATTGGAACTAAGCTTATTTTATTTTCCTTTGTAGACAACAAGGAAGATGTCGGAGTTTTCTGTTTAGATCAACAACTTCAAATTTTCAGCATGGAAAATTCCGAGAAGACAGAAGTGGTTCTCCTTGCTTGTGGTTCCTTTAATCCTGTCACCAACATGCACCTTAGGTTGTTTGAGCTGGCCAAGGACTACATGAATGCAACAGGTAGGGACAGCAACCGAACCTGATAATGGGGCCCAGGATACCTACCAAAGTAGGTCCCTCTTCCCTGCCCATCTCCCCTAAGGTGGGCGGGCCATAAACTTCCTGTGAGAGGTGCCCTCCCTGTGGAGGAGAGGAGCAGCCTCGTCTCCCGAGACAAAGGGATGCTGAGAAGCCTCCGAACAAACGGGTCTTGCTAAGTGGCCCTGGTTTACTGAACTGCCTCATACTCTGACCTGCCATATTTCTCCACAGCTGTCTACCCTTCATGGAACCTAGCATAGAAATACTCAGGTTTAACTGTTTTGGGGGCTCTTCATTTCCTTTTGGTGGCTCCTATGTCACATAAACCTATTAAATAAATTTGTATGTTTTTCTCCTGCTAATATGTCTTTGTCAGATTGATTTTCAGACCCAACCAAGGACCCTAAAAGGTGGAAAATCCTCTCTCCACATTCACACAGTGTTACTTTGTTTTGTTACATAAATGATCATGCTATATGTGATAGATAGGGGGATGGGTGCTCAGACTCACTAATAACAAGGATTACTAAACGAAAACTAAGTAAACTCAGATAAAACTAATAGAACTAAAATTTTAAATGAGATCAATTTTGCCCATCACATTGACATTCTTAAACTTGATAGTATATGGTATCAGAGCTTGGGGAGAAATGGACTCTTATGTACACTATAGGTGGACAGTAACGCTTTTCACAGGGCAACTTGACAATATCAATCAAAATGTAAACTGTACTGGGGAATGGGGAGTATTTAATGGGTACAGAGTTTCAGTTGGGGAAGATGAAAATGTTCTGGAGATGGTGGTGACGGCTATACAGCAGTGTGCACGTACTTAATGCCACTGAACTGTGCACCTAAAATGGTCAATTTTATGTGTATTTAACCACATTTATAAGTGAGTGAATGAATGAATAAAGAAAGAAACCACCCTGAATTCCTGCTTAAAAAAATAAGGGGATCTGTGATTATAAAACCAGATTGATATGTCCTGTGTGTGAAATCTAATTTGTTACACCTCATATCAAATCTAACTCTTCATTCAGGAAAGTTTAGAGTTATCAAAGGCATAATATCTCCAGTTGGTGATGCATATAAGAAGAAAGGACTCATCTCTGCCCATCATCGAGTTATCATGGCAGAACTTGCCACCAAGAATTCAAGATGGGTGGAAGTTGATACCTGGGAGAGTCTTCAGAAGGAGTGGATAGAGACTGTGAAGGTGCTAAGGTATTCTTGGTGAAATCGACTGTCAGTTCCGTGGAAATGGTTGGGGGCCTGTGTGGCTTTTGCTGTTTCAGTGCTGCCTCTGTCTGTGAACGTACAGATTTTTAAGACTGTCTCTAGGTTAAAAAGGCTCAGGTTATGCCATTCCTGTGTGAGGCGTGGAGCCCATCCACCGAGCAGGGGGTCCCTTAGCCTTTATGTCTTTTGTTTTAAGATTTTTGCACACATTGCTATGTAATTTTCTGTTAGAGAATGGCTTGATCTGTCTCTGCCACAAATAAGAAAGGCAAAATTGTAAGATAATATTATTGTCATCAATCTTCTTAGGTGTAAAATAGAGAGGCAGGTCATTTAGGGAAGAAAACCGTGGTGCTCAGTCAAGGACAGACTTGATTTTGTGTGCTGCTTCCGTGACATTATAGGGCTTGTCACAAATCTGTGTTCATACCTTTGAAATAATTCCAGTTAAGGATTCAGAAACCAGAGTGAGTAATACCTAGTTATTATGTAATAATATCTCGTGTATAAAATAAGAGGGCTTTCTAAAAGACCTGTCTAATGTCTTTCCTTAGTGTTCTGAACCTTCTGGTTCTGACTGGATCAGTTGGGGTTCAGATAGGAATTGGAAACTACTCCGGGTGTTTGGAGCAAAGTGTTAAAAGGGCTGGAGGAATGGAAGTTGGGTTTGTTTCAAGGTCACACCTTATTAGCTGCACTCGGAGTTCAAGAAACTGTTCCTGACTGACCGCTGACACCAGTGCTGGTCTTACCCTGCCCCGTCTCCTAAAGTTGGTGATGGGACTGCAGAGAACAGTCCAGCCACCGTACTCACACCGAGAGACTGCTTGTCAGGCTCCAAAGGGCAGGAAGATGGCCTCTGCTCTCTTCTTCCTTCCCAGTCTCTCATGAGTGAATCTCATCAGCAACATCTCAGTCACATCCAGTCCGCTGTGAGGACCTCTGGGGGCGTAGTTAGGGTAGGACGGGACCCTGAGCCAACAGACAGTATCTAGCACCGCAAATCCCCAAGAAGATTTACTTTGCAGGCTTGGCAGGGAGAAGAATCCGCCTTTTCACTGGCCAGAAATTCTCCCATCAGACACCAGGCTCCTGCATCCCCACCGTACCACCTAGCCCTCTGGTCTCTAGCTCCACGTAACCTTATTGTCCATTACATATTCACTCAGCTACTCAAGAGGGAAGGGACTAAGGGGAACAAAAGACCCATTGGACTCCCACAAGTGTAGTTCATGTTACTTAGGTAACTTCTCACAACTGTAAAGCAGTGGCGTTCTCCTGTCAGAACAAAGGTAACAGATCCTGCCTGTGGTCCCTTCCTTATAGGCTTCATACTTGCCCCTCTCTAGGACCTGACCTTTTCCTTGGCATTGTAGTTCTTGTTACCACGTCAAACCACACACTTTACGTGGTCAAGAGCATGGGCTATGAAGCCAGACTGCAGGGTTCAAATCCTGGCTCCGCTACTTTTAAGCTAAATGACCTTGGCAAATGAGCGCTCTCCTCTCAGAGAGGACAACAAACAGTTCTGATAGGATGGTGGCAGTAATACAGTTTGCTTCATAATAACGAAAACCTTCCTTGATATTGAAGGCCTCCCATGTCCCAAGGACTGTGCTGGGAGCTGGAGTTGCAGTTCTGAGGCTTTACTTCCCCTGCATGATGGCAGTGCTACTCTTAACCAATAGTACTTATGACGTGGGATGTTGAGAAGATTTAATCACATAATCCATGCAAAGGACTTAGTATAGTGCTTAACACATACAAATAAGTAATGTTAACTCAGTGCTTAACACATAGTAATTAATGTTAACTCTTATTATGACACAGACACATAAAGTTTAGAATAGTAATAGCTACCATTTGTTGTGTTCCCAGGATTTCCTTTCTTTCAATTCCCTGAAGCCAGTACCCAGCAGTACAGAGTGGTCAGCATCCATTCTGACTGGTCAGGCACCGTCCAGCCTTTAACAGTGGGTCAGAGGCTCTTAGGCATCTCAGAGGGATGATACTTCAGTTGAGCTTAGTGAGAAAGCAGAATGTTGTATTGCTTTGTCGGCATACAGGTACCATCAAGAGAAACTGGAGGCTGGGAGCTGTGATCGTCAGCAGGACTCACCTGTGCTGGAAAGGCCTGGACAGAAGAGGAAGTGGGTTGAACAAAGACAAGATTATAGTCAGAAGAAGCCCCTAGAGCCAAGAAAAGGTCTGTATGATTTACCAGGACTTTCTGACTAGAGGTGATAGGATTCTAGAGCTCAGCAAGCCCACTTTATGTTTTCATTTCATATTCAGTATGTGTGGGTGCCTGGAAAATCCCCTTGTTTTATGACAGGAAGGACAGAGAAGTAAAGGTACCCCAAGCTTAGTTCTCTTTAACTTGTGAGGTGTCCTGGATCTCTTTGGAGAATCTGAGTTAGGTCAGTACTTTGACCTCTAGCCAGAAGAACACACACACACATTCGTTTTGATGCAAGGGGTTACTGGGAGAGCAAACCCCGAAGCTGTGTTCTCCTCCCCAGGTGTGCCAAAGGTAATGCTGCTGTGTGGGGCAGATTTCTTGGAGTCCTTCGGAGTTCCTAATCTGTGGAAGAGTGAGGATATTGCCCAAATCGTGGAAGAGTATGGGCTCGTCTGTATTACTCGGGCTGGAAATGATGCCCAGAAATTCATCTATGAATCCGATGTGCTATGGAAACATCAGAACAACATTCACCTGGTGGATGAATGGATCACCAACGACATCTCAGCCACAAAGATCCGGCGGGCCCTCAGAAGGGGCCAGAGCATTCGCTACTTGGTACCAGATCTTGTCCAGGAATATATTGAAAAGTATAACTTGTACAGCCCCGAGAGTGAAGAGAGGAATGTCGGGGTGATCCTGGCTCCTTTGCAGAGAAATGCTGCCGAAGCTAACTCGTAAGAAATTCCGCAGCACAGTGTGGACCTCCCCTTGGGAATCTGAAACAATCCGGTATTAGCGGGGAGAGGAACTGTGATCCTGTTTCATAAATTAAAGCTTAAAATTTCAGTAAAAATCAGTAGTAAATTAAAATCAGGTTTATCTTTTTATCAGAAATTGCTAAGATGAATGTTTTCAATATGGTCTTATTTACAGATCCTTTATCTGTAAAACAAGAGATGAACAGCATTAACCAGAACATTAATCAAACTAACTGCAAATTAGAAGTCAAAAGGACATCCTGACTTTACCACATAAGCCAAGTGTGGAAAGCAAGAGTCCATTTAAAATCCTAACTTCAGTTATGAAGGGAACTAACATTTTATGCATGCCTGTTTCTAGGCAGTCTTCATGGAGGGTAGCCGAGGAAGTAAGTCTTAAAATTGTGCTTTTCTACAATGCACCACTGATCAGTCATCGCCAGCTATTCAAGATAACAGGTTGTGAATGTGCCTGGCAGAAACTTGATGCCAATAGTTCGTTCTCTCTGGCACATATCAGAGAGGCACACACCTGCCTGGAGCTTCCCCTTTGGTGTCTGGGAGAGGGGTCCAAGCCCTCAGATGTTGGATAGGTACATCAGTGTTTCTGATGCCCACCAGAGGTAGAGAGCCCCTGCCTTACATGTCCTACACACTCTCTTAGCCTGCTGTGGCTCGTGTTCTAGCCCTAGCCATCCGCCACCTTTTATTTTCAGGAACAACTTCAGCGATGACATCACACTAGTTGGAAGAGAGAGAACTATGGAGAATGAGGAGTCTTATTAAAAGGTTTTAAGTATCAGTGCTCTTAGCCTTTATTGATAGCCCAGTAATCAAAAGATGGAGACCCTAAGAACATGAGAAATGCCGCAGTGGGTCAGCCCAGCAGCTCCTCCCGTTCAGAATTGTGAGCATTGATGAATGGCTTGTGGAGGAATTCCCATGATCTCAATCTAAACTCCTGAATTTCTGAACAGCCCTGCTGGTTCTGTTTCAGCCCACCGTGAATCAGCACTTTGTAAATTTTAGCAGAAAATGGGTCTGTTTTGTTTTTTTTCTTCTTATCCTTGTGTATGGCTTTTAGCCAGAGTAGGACTCCCAAATAAGAAATGAATCCCAGTTGTATGTAACAAATACAAGCTTTTTACATGGTTTGATATTGATTAAAATTTTGTTGAAGTTTTATCAATTGGTAAAAACAAAAAGACCAGAAATAACTTTTTATATAGTTTTATGGTTTGTACAAATCATTCTGTGGTAGAAATATGACTAAAGTTAAATTTCTAATGAAAACAATTTACCTTTTTACAATTTATATTTGAAACTTCACATTACACTACTCAAACCTACACTAAATTGAAAAGTTTACCTTTTTACAGTTTTTATTTCAGACCTACACTATAAATCATTAAGGATTTATAACTGCAATGTACTTACAACTGTGTAATTTAATTGTATAGGAAGGTCTGAATCCAGTTTAAAAAGTTAAATGATAAAGTTGGCAAATGTAAATGCTGCATCTCCTGATTTGTCCTTACTAAAGCTGGCAGGCTGACTTCCCAGAGAGCCAGGAAGTAGTGCAATGCCTGACCCCACGGGTGTCAGTCTCTGCAGAATGAATGACAGGATCTCAGCGCAGAGAGATGAGGGACTTTCTTCCCTGCCTTAGCTTTTTGGAGTTGAAGAGTTGGGGCAGTACTGAAAAACAGAAGTCTAGAAGCAGAGAAAGCTACCAAAATTTAACTTTGATTTCTTCTCATGGAAAACTATATTTCGTTCATCTGAAGTATGTGTAAACTGCAAGTTTCCAATGCCAGAAATTTCTCTTATACTAGGTAGGTGCCTTCCTACCTAGAAGTACCCACCCTGCTCAGCTGTTAGTATATTGACCTCAGGACCCGCTGCATAAGCAGGTGGGGACCCTCCCAGGAGACCTGGTAATAATGATACTTTTGTGCTCTTTGTTGATCAACAGCTTTGCACACAGAACGAGTTAGCTTGGCTCTTTGTGCTACTACCAAGGATGCTGCTAATGCCACAGCATAATAACCTAGTTTGGGGTGTCCTCAAAGACAGAACTCCCTCTTCAGATAATGGAAATCAGAACAATGAACTTCACCGGAGAATAAATAGTAACAACTGTTGTGACTTCCGCTGAAGAAGAGGAAACTGCCATTATTTATTCCCTATCATGACTTTTTCATAATTTGCTTGTGTAATACAAATTTAGAGTTGAGGAAATATGTAAAGCTGCTGTTTTGTTTGTTTGATGCTGGTGTTTTTTATTTGTTGTACTCCTTTACCCCTTACATTGTACAATTTGCAGCAAATGAACTTATAGTAAAAGGCCTTGACTGGCAGCTTCATTCAGCTGTACATACTACATATGGAGAGATTTTTTTGTTTCTTACCTGTTTAGTGGTTAAGTGTGTGGACAGCAAACAGCTTGTATACGGGGAGCAGGTTCTTCTGGTCATCAAAAGATTGAGCCGAAGGGAAGTTTCCTCTCCTGGCATTCAAAGGATGCTCTTCCTTATTCCTGATTCTCCAGGACCTCACCACAGAGTGGGAGGCATCCCCTCCAGGTCCACTTGCGTGGCAGTGACAGGGTTGCTATTTTCCTTTCCCCAAGCTCGGGGAGCATTGTGAGGTAGGCTCCTTCAACATTTCTTTCTGGGTGCTTCGGGACATTCATTTCTTTGCCATTGTTTCCAAAGGCCTCTTGATCTAAAACGTTCACTGTGGCATCCGCCCAACTGTAAGGTTGACAGGAAGGACAGAGAAGTAAAGGTACCCCAAGCTTAGTTCTCTTTAACTTGTGAGGTGTCCTGGATCTCTTTGGAGAATCTGAGTTAGGTCAGTACTTTGACCTCTAGCCAGAAGAACACACACACACATTCGTTTTGATGCAAGGGGTTACTGGGAGAGCAAACCCTGAAGCTGTGTTCTCCTCCCCAGGTGTGCCAAAGGTAATGCTGCTGTGTGGGGCAGATTTCTTGGAGTCCTTCGGAGTTCCTAATCTGTGGAAGAGTGAGGATATTGCCCAAATCGTGGAAGAGTATGGGCTCGTCTGTATTACTCGGGCTGGAAATGATGCCCAGAAATTCATCTATGAATCCGATGTGCTATGGAAACATCAGAACAACATTCACCTGGTGGATGAATGGATCACCAACGACATCTCAGCCACAAAGATCCGGCGGGCCCTCAGAAGGGGCCAGAGCATTCGCTACTTGGTACCAGATCTTGTCCAGGAATATATTGAAAAGTATAACTTGTACAGCCCCGAGAGTGAAGAGAGGAATGTCGGGGTGATCCTGGCTCCTTTGCAGAGAAATGCTGCCGAAGCTAACTCGTAAGAAATTCCGCAGCACAGTGTGGACCTCCCCTTGGGAATCTGAAACAATCCGGTATTAGCGGGGAGAGGAACTGTGATCCTGTTTCATAAATTAAAGCTTAAAATTTCAGTAAAAATCAGTAGTAAATTAAAATCAGGTTTATCTTTTTATCAGAAATTGCTAAGATGAATGTTTTCAATATGGTCTTATTTACAGATCCTTTATCTGTAAAACAAGAGATGAACAGCATTAACCAGAACATTAATCAAACTAACTGCAAATTAGAAGTCAAAAGGACATCCTGACTTTACCACATAAGCCAAGTGTGGAAAGCAAGAGTCCATTTAAAATCCTAACTTCAGTTATGAAGGGAACTAACATTTTATGCATGCCTGTTTCTAGGCAGTCTTCATGGAGGGTAGCCGAGGAAGTAAGTCTTAAAATTGTGCTTTTGTACAATGCACCACTGATCAGTCATCGCCAGCTATTCAAGATAACAGGTTGTGAATGTGCCTGGCAGAAACTTGATGCCAATAGTTCGTTCTCTCTGGCACATATCAGAGAGGCACACACCTGCCTGGAGCTTCCCCTTTGGTGTCTGGGAGAGGGGTCCAAGCCCTCAGATGTTGGATAGGTACATCAGTGTTTCTGATGCCCACCAGAGGTAGAGAGCCCCTGCCTTACATGTCCTACACACTCTCTTAGCCTGCTGTGGCTCGTGTTCTAGCCCTAGCCATCCGCCACCTTTTATTTTCAGGAACAACTTCAGCGATGACATCACACTACTTGGAAGAGAGAGAACTATGGAGAATGAGGAGTCTTATTAAAAGGTTTTAAGTATCAGTGCTCTTAGCCTTTATTGATAGCCCAGTAATCAAAAGATGGAGACCCTAAGAACATGAGAAATGCCGCAGTGGGTCAGCCCAGCAGCTCCTCCCGTTCAGAATTGTGAGCATTGATGAATGGCTTGTGGAGGAATTCCCATGATCTCAATCTAAACTCCTGAATTTCTGAACAGCCCTGCTGGTTCTGTTTCAGCCCACCGTGAATCAGCACTTTGTAAATTTTAGCAGAAAATGGGTCTGTTTTGTTTTTTTTCTTCTTATCCTTGTGTATGGCTTTTAGCCAGAGTAGGACTCCCAAATAAGAAATGAATCCCAGTTGTATGTAACAAATACAAGCTTTTTACATGGTTTGATATTGATTAAAATTTTGTTGAAGTTTTATCAATTGGTAAAAACAAAAAGACCAGAAATAACTTTTTATATAGTTTTATGGTTTGTACAAATCATTCTGTGGTAGAAATATGACTAAAGTTAAATTTCTAATGAAAACAATTTACCTTTTTACAATTTATATTTGAAACTTCACATTACACTACTCAAACCTACACTAAATTGAAAAGTTTACCTTTTTACAGTTTTTATTTCAGACCTACACTATAAATCATTAAGGATTTATAACTGCAATGTACTTACAACTGTGTAATTTAATTGTATAGGAAGGTCTGAATCCAGTTTAAAAAGTTAAATGATAAAGTTGGCAAATGTAAATGCTGCATCTCCTGATTTGTCCTTACTAAAGCTGGCAGGCTGACTTCCCAGAGAGCCAGGAAGTAGTGCAATGCCTGACCCCACGGGTGTCAGTCTCTGCAGAATGAATGACAGGATCTCAGCGCAGAGAGATGAGGGACTTTCTTCCCTGCCTTAGCTTTTTGGAGTTGAAGAGTTGGGGCAGTACTGAAAAACAGAAGTCTAGAAGCAGAGAAAGCTACCAAAATTTAACTTTGATTTCTTCTCATGGAAAACTATATTTCGTTCATCTGAAGTATGTGTAAACTGCAAGTTTCCAATGCCAGAAATTTCTCTTATACTAGGTAGGTGCCTTCCTACCTAGAAGTACCCACCCTGCTCAGCTGTTAGTATATTGACCTCAGGACCCGCTGCATAAGCAGGTGGGGACCCTCCCAGGAGACCTGGTAATAATGATACTTTTGTGCTCTTTGTTGATCAACAGCTTTGCACACAGAACGAGTTAGCTTGGCTCTTTGTGCTACTACCAAGGATGCTGCTAATGCCACAGCATAATAACCTAGTTTGGGGTGTCCTCAAGGACAGAACTCCCTCTTCAGATAATGGAAATCAGAACAATGAACTTCACCGGAGAATAAATAGTAACAACTGTTGTGACTTCCGCTGAAGAAGAGGAAACTGCCATTATTTATTCCCTATCATGACTTTTTCATAATTTGCTTGTGTAATACAAATTTAGAGTTGAGGAAATATGTAAAGCTGCTGTTTTGTTTGTTTGATGCTGGTGTTTTTTATTTGTTGTACTCCTTTACCCCTTACATTGTACAATTTGCAGCAAATGAACTTATAGTAAAAGGCCTTGACTGGCAGCTTCATTCAGCTGTACATACTACATATGGAGAGATTTTTTTGTTTCTTACCTGTTTAGTGGTTAAGTGTGTGGACAGCAAACAGCTTGTATACGGGGAGCAGGTTCTTCTGGTCATCAAAAGATTGAGCCGAAGGGAAGTTTCCTCTCCTGGCATTCAAAGGATGCTCTTCCTTATTCCTGATTCTCCAGGACCTCACCACAGAGTGGGAGGCATCCCCTCCAGGTCCACTTGCGTGGCAGTGACACGGTTGCTATTTTCCTTTCCCCAAGCTCGGGGAGCATTGTGAGGTAGGCTCCTTCAACATTTCTTTCTGGGTGCTTCGGGACATTCATTTCTTTGCCATTGTTTCCAAAGGCCTCTTGATCTAAAACGTTCACTGTGGCATCCGCCCAACTGTAAGGATGTACAAGCAGCATGTGCCTGAAATCTGGAGCTCACTAGTGGTCCTTTTTGCCCTTTGTAATGCTGACACTTTCTGAGCACCTACTGTGTGCTGGGCATGTGCTAATGAGTGCCGTACAGAGAGGCTGGGCATGTCTAGGTGACTAGTGGGAAGGCTGGAATGAGCAGTGTGTCTTCAGGGCCTGTGCCCATAACCTGTCTCCTCCTCATGTAACATACTAGTTTTCAGAAAATGAAATTTTAACCATATCTTGACATTTCCATCCACCCTAAGTGGATGAATACAAAAAAAAAAACCACTTTGAATAGTATTGATAGTCTGATGGTGACAAGTGATGTGTTCAGTCCACACAGGACGAAGTTGAACTTGCCCAGTGTTGTCAATTCCTCGCCTCTAGGGCAGTATACGCCCAGGGGGATGAGGTGGCATGAGCCATAACTCCTCCTAACCAGCAAAGAAAGAAAACGCACCCAGGTGCCCATGCTAGGACCATATGGCCACCTTGCAGCACTGTGGCCTGAGAACGGAAGCAGCTTTCCTGGGAGGCAGAGTTCTTGTGCCAGGCCTGCCAGCCAGCCGACTGGGAAGTCATTTGACTGAGTCCTTTTCTGGAAGTAACACTGTCATCTCTGAGGCCCCTTCTAGCTCAGATGTTGTTGGGCCTGATGGAGGGTTGCACGGGCTCCTCACAGCTCTGAGCTGCCACCTGTCTCCCTCCTGTAAGAGCAGGACGCATTTGTTAGAACAGCAGCATGCAATGCGCAGGGGACAGCACGCAAGTACAACACAGCCTCTGCTGCCAGGTGGCCTGCAGTTAGTGGGAGAAAAAAATACTGCATTTTGAGCATGTGCAAGGGACTGTCCAGAACCACTGGAAGGTTCCCTGAAACTCCATGCCCTCAGGCCCTGCAGGACAGGAAACCAGGAGGGACAGCATTGGGGTGGGAGCAAGGGGGAGTTCCTTACATTACAAATTATTTGTCATTTATCTGAAGTTCATGAGTCCTGTTTCTGTTTTGCTTTTTGGCCAACTCCAGTGACCTTGGGTGGGAGAAACAACGCAGGAGGAGGCATGGAGAAGAGCATTCCTTCCACTGGGGGCTCCGCAAGCAAACAGGCCCCACTGAGGCTGAGCATGTGGGATGGGCTGTGGGGCGCAGGAGGAGGGGAGCTCTGTATGTCCCAGAGAAGGTTTCTGACCTGTTGCAGTGGTGCCTGCCACAAGGTGGGGAATTCCCATTCCCAGGGAAGATCCCTCCCTTGATGAAACTGCCACCCCAATTTCATCATAGAATTCAGATCTATTTCTGCCCCAAATGTCTTACCAAGTCTAAATGACTACAGCAGACAAGAGTTTCCCAAATCAAGTCAAACTGCCTGATAGGTTTTTCCAAACCAGTGGGTAACATGACACAAATTGCATTTTAAAACACTAAGGAAAATAAACGAAGACAAAATAGGGACAATAGTATAATAATAGTGTCATGGTGATAAGAGTCTATACATATCACCCAACCTGAATCAACGTTCTGCCACTCCTGCTTCATCTGCACCATGTTTTCTGTTTTGCTGGAGTCTTTTAAATCAAGTGTCAGGTATGTGGTTTCAGTGTGAGGAGTGCTTGAATCTAATTTGTATGTTAAAACAATTGCACTAAAGACTAGCATGAGGATCTAAGAAGCAAAGGAGAGTCAATGAAGAAAGGAGGTGTTTTTAAAAACATCATTTGGCCTCACCCAGTTGGCCTGAAGTTCTCAAGAAAAGCAGTTTTGTGGGAAATCAGTTGGAATGTGTAAGATCCCGATTTCAAAGGCCTTGCTGGCATCTTTCCCTCCACAGCAGAGTATAGAATGCAAGGCCGAAGGGCCTGGTGGTCTTCATCCCAGCTCAGGGAAGCACAGGCCTAACCTAACCTTCTTCAACAGGCCGAAAGTTTCTCTTGATGAATAGGCTTTAAAATAGTACAGCTAAAAGTATCAGTTACCAAAGCAGAAGATCTGGGTTTCCAGTCACAATATTTTTGTTGAAAGAATAGTACTCATGAAATAGTATTTTAACATACATTAAGTATCTTCAGAGAGTTAGGCATGCTTAGAACTGAACCACTGTTAGCTTGTGCCCTCAACTAGGCTAAAAAAGGGAAATAAGTTGCTTAAGGAGATGAGGGTAACTTGATTTTGCTTACTGTTATATCAGGATGTTTTCCACTTCAAGTAGCAGGAAGCTCAACTCCCCAGTGGTTTAAACAATAAGGACATTTATACCCAGAAGTACAGACAGAGGGCAGGATCCAGGGTTTGTGGGTACAGGGAATCAACAGTGACATCAAGGACACAGGTTCCTTCCATTCTACTGTCCTGGTCCCTGTGCCCCAATTCTGGTGCCCCTTGAATTGCAGAATGGTCACCAGTAATAAGGCCTCCTTGTTCATGTTCAGAAGTGGGAAAAGGCTGGCTCCCCAAGGCTCTTTGTTGAACTCAAACAAGCATTTCCAGCAGCTTTATCAAAATGATCATCATATCTCACTGGCTGATTCAAATTCACGTAAGCCTGCTTGTCCCTAAAACCAATCACTGGCAAAGGAGGTAGGATTTCTGTGATTGGCTTGGCCTCAAACTAATGCAGGTCTTACCCCTGGAAATGGGCCATGCTCCTTGATGGCGCTGCTGCCTTGCGTCAGGGAGAGGAGGTCTGGCTGCTATGAAGCTCACCATAACGTCCACACCAACCTGCTGGGTCACTATCACACTCCATCAAGTGACAGAGAGTGGTTCCACTCCAAGCAGCCCTCATTAGTTCCCATCCATCACTGTCTAGGAGGAGCCGTGTTTGTAAACATCATTGGGATGTCATCTTGGCTATAACTTCATGGTTCAGTTTGCCAGTATCAAATTGAAGGAAAGAAAGGGCTCAAATTGGGCCAAATAAATTTCTCCCTCCTTTTCTTTGCAGACATAACTTTTGGTTCTTGTCTGGAAAAAAGATCTCAGAATCGCAGAGGAGAAAGTTACTCTTTATCCCATGGCAAGTCCAATCTATGTCCCCTTCAACTGCATTCCAACCTTATCCATAATAGATGGCCCTTGCTCAAGCTGGCAAAGAGCCATACCAACCAGCACAAATGCTAAATTAGTTATTTCTTCAGCTTACTTTCAGGTCAACATTTATAACAATAAGATTTTAAGGGTAGGAAGTAAGTATGATTTTTCCATATCCTGTTCCCTTAGTCATCTGGAATTTGAACAAACTTCATGCTCCAGGAATCTGGTCAGAGTTCATGGTTCTATACCCATTAAATGGCAAGGGACAGCTAATCCCAGGACTTGATATCAGCCTGCCATATCCCACCAAAGGAATCAATGTTGTGTAAGAATCAACAGCCTCATTCTGGGCAAGGTGATGTCACACCTGTTTCAGAAATTGTGAATTAGTGGACTTAGTGATGTTAACAGCATTTCAACGTTTGCAGATATTTAATATCCTATTAAGTAGGCACTTGATATCCTCTTAAGGAAAATTTGCCTCCAAAGTTTAATCTGTAACAACTGTTTAGAAAGAACCACAACTACAGGTTTTTTTAGATAACCATTACAAACATAAAAATTGTGTACAAACTGAAATGTCTGTGTACTGATCCTCAAAGGAAATAAGACCTCAGTTTTAAATGGGAAAAAAAGGTGTTTCTCCTTTGGAAAAAGGTTGTAGCTATTAACTCAACAAACATTTCTGGAGCACTTGTCAGGCACTATGCTAGACCCTTGGGGATGCTGTAAAGGTGAATGAGATGAACATGGTCTGCCCTTGACACTTAAATGAAAAAGGTAGTCAATAGAAAACCAAAAAAAGATAATTATGGATTATGATCATTATGAAGGAAGTAAGCAGAGACATAATGCTGAGTGAATGTAAATTGGAAGTGTAGCTGAACCTGAGCAATGCAAGGGTTAGGGGGACTGACCCGATGCAGTTGAAAATCTACATGTAACTTCTGGCTTCCCAACAATGTAATTACTAATAGCCTATGGTATTAACTGGAAGCCTTACTGATAACATAAGCAGTTGATTAACACATATTTTGTATGTCATATACATTATATAATGTATGTGTACATACCATATATGAGCTTACATGTTATGTAAGCCAGAGAAAAAATGTTAATATCATAAAGAAGAGAAAATACATTCAGAATACTATACTGTATTTATCAATATCATAAGTTTATGTCATCTGTTTACAAGATGAATCACCTGTCAGCACCTACATCAATATTGTCTTATGTGATACAAAACGCTGTAGATATTATATGTATTATTAACACTAGACATCAAAAATAAAAAGATAATATGAAAAAAATTCTATTTATAGGTAAAATGAGTCATACATTGATAACAAAGCAGTAGTGATAGGATTGCTTCATGCTAGCCTTGTGAAATTGATATAATGGTTCACAGTAGCCTAAGCCTTACACTAATGAAAGGTTATGAAAATTTTATGGCATATAATATTACAGTGATATTCATTACATACTATTGGAAACATCATTATATATTTTTTAAACCACTTGTGATGATAGGCAGTTTCTCCAGTTATAAGAGCATGTGGCATCCTGTATGGTAAT